TTTTAGAAGAGAATATGACCTAACCCATTTATCTTATTAAATAAGATTTACAGAACATGAAAAAGTACAACCAATTTTCAGTGAACTGTGCATAATCCTATGGATATTAAAATAAAATGTACGGTTACTGAAACTGGTGGAAGCTGAAAGATATTTCAGTATCTAACCCTCATTAAAAACTATAGGAATTCTGCTCTGGGGAAAGAATAATGCAGCCACCTTGCTGCCTGGCTTATTGAGTGTGAGCTTGCAAGAAAAAAATGAGGGGTATAATCAAGGGATACAATTCTTGATTTTGCAATGAAAAATCCAGCTTTTAAGTGAGCTGGGGTACTTCCAGATGGAGGGCCTCTAGCACTACCAGCCAAAAGGCATTGTGCTGCTATTCCATCTTCTCTTCATTTGAGCATAATCCTATGGGATTGTCACTCTATACATGGAAGCCTTGATGACTGGAGCCCTTCCTCTGTCCTAAGCTCTGCAAATAGGGCAGGGGAAACAACAAAGGAATTCCATCTCTCCCATTCCTGCATTATAGCATATTTAGCTAGATGGGCTTCTTGGGCTGCCTAGCTACTTACTTCTTAGAGCAGGGATGGAAAATAGTGACTTGTGCATCCAGTGAACCCACAGAATCCCTTCTCCCTTCCTATTGCCTCCTTTATCCTCAGCCAATCCTCTGAAGCTTGTGGGGTGGGTGGGGTGGGAGCAGAGAAATCTCTACTTGATTCCCTCCATCCATGCTTAGAGCCATCTGAGCTTGTAACTGTGTCTCTGTACCACTCTATTCTCCCTGGCACCCCTCCTATCTATAGGATTACCATCCTATTCCTATCCTATCCCTATCTTATTATATGATATTAATATAAGTAGAAAGTAGATGGAAGAATTGATGGGAAAGCATGGGAGAATTATGAATGGAATATGACATCATCTGGGATGTACTCCTCAAGATGCTTTTTGCATCATTGCTTGCATCATCATTGTACGAGCTTGTGTTCCCTTTAGTCTTATTTGGGAAAGACTAAGCTCCAACAATTTGAGGGAATTTAACCCTCTTGAGTCCCCTTGTACAGTTCTTTTTTATCAATCCCCTCAGTTCAGACAAGTCTTCCCTTTTGAAATCCGGTGTGACTGTAAGGTAATAAAGGGTTGCCCTCCTGTGATTTAGCCTCCTTCCCTGTCCCCTTATTCTGACTTCAGTTGATGATTTATGAGTTTTAAAAGATTACCTGGTTAATAGATATAAAAGTAAATAATGCTTACTTTGACCTTGCAAGGACATTGAATGCATCGGTGTGCTGTACAAAATAGAACTTCTGACTTAAAATAGAAAGTTTTATTTCAAGATTCGTGAAATAGTATGAAATAGTCAACATGACTAGATACCTGTTGAGGGACTACACCCAAGCTGAGGGTCAATGGATAAGAGCCTCTCCACCTGCTCCTCATCTTCAGCAATGCAACCTGTTTATTCACCAGACTCCCATTTTGCCCCAGGCACTACTGGTGGGCAGAAGGCCACAGTCTTCTTTGCCACTGGTTCTCTACCTGGCAAGCCAAGAGTTGGTGGCAGTTATGAGGAAGAGGAGCAACAGCAGCAAGTGGCAATGCTGGTAAGAAAGCCCATTCACTGATGGGAAGGATCCAGTTGTCTTGTTCAAAGACCTACGAAACCTGGAGCTGGCACTAGGATCTGTATGTGAGAGAGGGCAAAGGAAGGCCATGTTACAAGCTTGTACTGGGACCTCAGAAAAGATACTTCAGTCTTGAAAGAGGGTACTGTTGGCTCTCCTGGTGCTGAAAAATCTCTTTCTCCTTGATTTTGACCTTGTACCAATTTATGGTGTTCAGACCCCAATTTCAAAAGAAAACAAGAACAAGTGGCAAAATATGAAAAGTACAAGGGCTTTCTGTCCTCTTGAAGCTTCAGCCATTAGAGAGCTATGTCACTTGAACATTCCTACTTGCAGTGAGGTAATGGTAAGTGTAAGCACTGAGTGCAGATGGTGCCACCTGGTGATCCCTGGCATCACCATTTGAAAGAATCATGTAGCTAGTGATGTGAAGAGCTTCCACCTGAAGCACTGGAAGCCACAAGCTGTTGGAGTAGATAATCCTTGCCTAGATGGACAAGTAAGCCTGACCCACTAAATGATAGCTGCCTATATTCTAAAGATATCCAACTGAGTAACAACAGCCCAAATCCATCTAAAGCAGCCTCCAGTCAGGGCAGGTGAGCAGAGCAGAGCTATCTCATTTTCCCAGATTGTCCATTTCCCCCCACTTTGTGTCTGCCAGGGATGTATGAGAAATTAATTTTTGCTCATTTTCTGACCAGAACTTAGCCAAATTGTACCTCCCAGAACTAAACATAGACCCAAACACAGTCTACAGCTGAAGTCTGTACTTTTCCAAGCTTGTGATCTGATTTGTAGAACAAAGCAAACCCATTTAATAAATGTGTACACTTGAAAAAGGAGCATGAAAAAGCATTTATTTGAAAAATGCACACAAATGTACTTTAAGAAAAAGTGTACATTTCCAAAATCCATACAATTGATGAATCCATTTGGGGAAAATGTGTACAAAAATACCAACAAGTATTCATGTGAAAAGGAAACACAAAGCTCACAATGTGATATGGATGCAACTCAGAATAAGCTTCAGGGTGGAATTTGGAAACCTGTAATGAGATTGAGTTTTGCTGATTCACTCATCCCTTGTCACAACATCTTACAGAAACACTGCTTACAAATAGTGTGATGCCCATATAATCTTGCATGTGAAACCGTGCAATTGAAACTTGTGTATACTTTGTCAGAACAAAGTGCCACAGAGGTCAGTGGAGTTCGTCCTCAAGTCAGTGTGTCTAGGATTGTGGTTTTGCTATCACTGGAATGTTATTGTACCAAAAGCAACAGTGAAAGGAACAGAGCTAGAAGGGCAACTCAGAAAAGCATTTATCTTTGTACTTTCATTGTCTGTTCTTCTTCCCAATATGTGTTAAAGAAAACAAGAAACCGGTGAGGTTTTTACAACTGCTGCTTTTTAGTGACTGGAATTAGTTGACCGGGAGTTCCATAGATAGAATGATGGCTAATCAAGATTAAAGCTGAAAGAACTGGCTATGGGCCTGTTCAGAATATCTTTTTTAAAGAATAGTGGAGCGTGGCTAACATGAAGAATGCAGCTGAACAGGAAGGAGTCCTTGGCAGGGATCAGAAATACAAAGCATCACTAGACCTGGTGGCTTTCAGTCTGTAGAAAGGTGTTTTGTTCATTTCATGATTCATCTCATGTCTTAGAGCCAATGAAGTGGAAACCGTTTGTCTCACTGTAGATGGCAAAAAGATTTACTACTGGAAAAAAATCCACACATTCAAACACTGAGGGGTGTTCGTTTGTTTTTAAACAACACTCACTCCTCTTCTTGTATTTCCTTCCTTTTCTTTAGCTCTGAATCTTAAATTACTATTTCAGATCAAAGTACATTTTTAAAAAATACAATGTGTATTACGTGTAATGGCTAATTATATCACCTCCTATCCTAATCAAACAAATGCAGTTTTCCACAATGGGTCTGTTTCTTTTCCTATCAGTTCATAAAAATGTTTATTTCCACTAACTTGCTAACAGCAGAACACCTTTGGAACAGAAGAACTGGTGTCTTCGAAGCTGGACATTTAGAGAAATCTTAGCATGCCTATTGATAGCTAATGAAAAAGATCTTGAGATCTTATCTTCAAGTGGCCATCTCCCTGAAGCTGTCTTTCAGCACTTTATAGAAGCATAGAAACAGAGCGAGTCAGAAGGGGTCTCCCAGGCCATCTAGTCTGACCCCCAACTCCAGCCGGCTCTGTTCATGACATGTCCACCATGTGCATGCCCACCATTATGACTAAACCAGAAGCCCAAGAATCAGTACTTGTGCGTGAAAATGCTTAGACAATTTCTTGTGTGGATTGGAAAGTATGCTTATAAGAACAGACATGCTGAATCAGTCCAAAGGCCTACTTAGTCCAGCTTTCTGCTCACACAATGGCCAACCAGCTGCCCATAGGAAGCCCACAGGCAGGCATGAGTGCAATAACCCTCTACTATTCATGTTCCCCTGTAAATGATATACAGAGTCACACTGCCTCTAAAGCTGGACATAATATATAGTCATCATTACTACTTGCCATTGTTTCACCATGGACACATATACTCCAGCTGCTGCCATAGCAAAACCAGTCTTAGAGATGCAGAGCTGTTGGTGAGCAATCACCACTCATGCGATCACCAGTCCCAGCCTTGGCTGCGAAGTGACTCAGAAGGCCTTCAGCTTTTCATGCCTCAAAGCTGCTGTCACACTTGGTTAATTGGCTTCCTTTGGCCCCATGATGGCATCCCCAGACAAGGTTTGTTTGCTTAAACCAACTCCTGGTACTTTGCCCGGGCGGAGTTGTCCATGATTCAGGATGGAACAAGGGCCAGGGCCAGTAGGCTGCTTCTGCACACGTGGACAGTGCTAGCTATGCATAGTTCGGGCTACCCTACCTCTTCTATGGAAAACGGTGTGGGTGGTGGTGCAGTATCTGCACAAAGCATCCTATATACATCAAGATAAAGTAAAGCACTAAAGTGATTTGTCTGGAGAAGGGCTAGAGGAAACCAATCTCCCATGGAGTCTTCTCCGGATAATATATTCTGTGAATTATCTCTAACCTTACCCAGTTTACTGTCATCAGAAATTCAGAAAATGGCTTTTTTGTGTTTAAAGTACCTTTAAGAGATAATTAGTGGCTTATAATTGCTGAGTTTCCTCTCCTCGCCTTTGCCATTTCTTGTCAACTGTAATGTGCCTTTATTCAATGGGCCTTTCATACTAAAGTGTAGATAAGGCTTGGTATCTTTGACGTGGAAGGGCTTTGTTTTTCCCATTGTGGCTCCAGACAGATGAGCTAGTGATTAGTCCATAGATGACAATGACATGAGCCAGTGTTTTTCTCCTGCAGACCCTCCAACTATCACAGAGTCTAAGAGCAATGAATCTGCTACAGGACGACCAGTTTCACTTAAGTGTGCAGCCTCTGCTGTCCCTACACCTGATTTTGAGTGGTACAGAGATGACACTAGGTAATTATATTATTTATCTTATTCCTTCTGTTGTTCTAATGTCTAGCAACAAAGAAAGAAACTTGTTTTCGCTACAATCAATGTTATTCAACTCATGTCAAAAAATATTGGATTCTCAACCCTTCCATCACTCACCACTTTCCCGATCTACCTCACACCCACCAGCTGCCTGCCCACTCTCCAGACTTGCAGCAACAAGCACAGGTATGGTAACATCCCTCCTTTGTCTCTGGCTCTTCCACCTCTGCCTATCTGCGAATCTGCATTTGAGCCTTTCCATTTCCTTATGTTCTTTTGCCATGTAATGAGGGCCTTAGTTGCTCCATAGTGTTACTGTATTTACCATGTACTTCTCTTGTTTCTCAGGATAAATAATGCCAATGGTTTGGAGATCAGGAGCACAGGGAGCCAGTCTTTCCTGACGGTGGCCAATGTCACTGAAGAACATTATGGCAACTATACCTGTGTGGCTACCAACAAACTGGGAATCACAAATGCTAGCCTATTTCTTTACAGTAAGTATGGAAGTGGGTAGAATTTCACCAAACTCACCTAGTGAATCTCACCAAGTGTTACACATTTGCAAGGTAGTCCAACAGCAAGTAAGGCAGACTCAGATTAAGACTAGCCATCATCTAAGATAAGTTAATGTAAGGAAGGTCATAGAAGGAAAGTTCCCAGTCCCTGCAACCACCTGAAAACTGCTCTGCTCCTACCCCAAAGCCTCTCCAGACAGTCACTGGTCCCTCTTGAACAATGTAGGATGAGATGGAAGCTAATAGGAGAAAGCCAAACCATCCCAAACGGAGTGAATGTTGCCTGATTCTAGATGATTTCCCTTCCTGAGCACTCTTCTGCATATCCCACACTGTTCAGGTGGGTCCCAAGAGTGTTAAGTACAATACAAGGCAATGTGGCTACAAAGCACCATTACTGTACAAGATACATGCATATACTTACCATCCAAACTAAATAGTAAAAAGTCATCAGAGAAGATTTATTTATTTATTTGATTTATATCCTGTCTTTTTCCTACAAAGGGCTCAAGGCAGCTTACATCATTCTCCTCCTCCATCTTATCCCCACAACAACAACCCTGTGAAGTAGCTTGGGCTGAGAGTCTGTGACTGGCCCAAAGTCACCCAGTTGGCTCCATGGCTGAGCAGGGACTAGAACCCAGATCCTCTGAGTCCCAGTCCCATGTTCTTAACCACTACACCACACTGGCTCTCTTGGGATGTCCAACTCCATCCCCAACCATTCAATAGAACAGTCATGCCAGAAGGTTCATTTGCTAGCAGAAAAATAAGGCTGGTGTGACATGGGTTGGCAACTGGAGGAAAGAAGAGAAAGCTGGAAAAGATGAGAAGGAGTGTAAAGAAGGGGAATTAAAGTAAACTGGGTTCACAAGAAAAGGCTTGCAAAGATTGGAAAAGATATCACAGAGGCTATGGAAAGAAATGGTGTTAAATATAAGGCAAATGTAAAAATGGGAAGCCCTGTGGTAATTATGGCTGCACACATTTTGCTACATACAGTTCCATAACATTTGAAGTGCCCTTCAGTCTAACTTTTTATCATTCCAGCAGACAAACTATTTAAATGAAATTGTGTTTAAAACAACATTAAATAGACTCAAATCTGAGCTTTAAGACACAAGTGGGAAACACTGAACTGAAAGGCCAATCTTGCTTTTAGTTGTAGATTCAACTGAGAATCAGCTTGTTTATTTATTTATTTGTTTGTTTGTTTGCATTTGCTGGAATTTGATTAAAAGATGAAACGAAATCAACATGATTTCCTAATTCAGCAGGAACTTGTCTCATAGCCTTTCTCAGGAACCTGATCAGAACTTCAGACTGAACCTGAATTATATAAGGTTCACTTCAAGCTTATTCTTGAACATTATTATGGACTGTGGGGAATTTCTTTTTCTGTCAGCAGTATTTTTCCCTATGAGGACTTTACTGAGTTGAAAAATCCTTCCTTTGAATGAGCCCACCATTATCTATTGCCTCTGATGATCCAAAGAACTACAAGTGAAAAATAGAAACTTGAAAATGTCCAGAAGTTGGACACACATTGTTGATACATTTACTACAGAAGTATAAATTGGGGTACAATGCATGAGTGGACTAAATTCAAGTTCCCAGCTTGGTGCCTTCCAGATGCATTGGACTAAAATTCTGATCATTCCTAGCTATCATGTACAATGCAGTCCAGTACACCAGGCTGGAAAAGACTGTAATAAATGGAAATAAATGGCAATACATTTATGGTAATCTTTTTAATTACTTGTGGTTGACACTCCACTGGCCACTAGAACCTACTGGGTGTGATATGGGCACCTCTTGAGCAAGAATCTTAAAGGAGAGCAAGAATGAATACAGTGCATTGCAGCAGCAAGACCAAGAGAAACAGTGAAGGCCAGTAACTACAGCACTTCACTTGTGAGAAGCCTCTGCATTAGTTAGTAAATGCTAGGCAGCTGAGATGTTATGCTGATTCCAAGGGAGTGAGAAGCTAAGTGCTGTAGGCTTCCTGCTGTATATTACTGCAACATTTGAAACAAATCGGTCTCTCTGCACTATCAAGGATGTTCACCATGTAGGAAAGCCTGCATATATCCCTATATATAACTGTGAATATTAAGTAAATCTTTCTTAAAATGAATTGGATATCCCCTGTGACTAAACATGTACATTCCTCCCTAACTTTAAATTAAGGTGTAAAAAAAAAAACCTTGAACAAATCTCCCACATAGTCCATGGAGACTAAAGAAACTTAGCATTCCTGTGTTAAAGAAGCCTGTAATTGGAAGCCTGGTAGTCTATAATTGGCTATCATTAAGCTTCAGAAAGAAGCAAAAAGAAGTACCCGCCACTTTGAGATAGCCCTGCAAGCAAGCTTGGCCTCACATGCAGGGACAAACTAGAGCAAGAGATACAGCCATCCCCTTTTAAGTGGTTTTCCTGTCTAGAATCAAAGGGATTGAGCATTAGGGAAACACTTTTTATGCTTTTTAATGGAGAACAAATTTGTTCAAATATATTCTCCCCTTTGAGATTTAGGTGGACTGTCAGAGCCAGAAGGTTCCATGGTAGCTGAAAAATGACAGAAGCCGAGATTGAAACTGCAGAATAGGGACACAGTGAAATGTTTGTTGCTTTGCTGGTAGTGAGTAAGAGAGAAGAGGGGAGAGACAAAGAGAGAGAGAGAAGGGATTATTGGGTCCTGCAAATTCTTTGAAAATACAGCCTAGGAAGGGGAAAACGCAAGTGACTGATGATCCCAGATGTACCATGAAAAAGGCAGAGGCGGGCTCTAATAGGCAGTGCTGCCTTAAGCCAACAACACTTTGGTAAATAAAGGCGACTGGACCCAAAGGAGATGGAAATATCTGTTTTCAGCTGAGATTTATATCTGCCATTCTGACACTCCTTTAGGAACAGGAGGATTTATCCCAATGAAATGAAACTGAGCTAGGCAGGAGAAGAAAAAGATTGAACATACAGCAACAGAAGTAATAACAAACTGCAGGAGGAGGACAATGCACTAAAATTGATCAGAAAGGCCCAAGTGCTATCTTCCCTACCAAAAGTAATGATCAACACATCAGAGGAAGCTCCTCTGAATACAGCATGAAAGAGGGCATTTGCTTTAGACAACTTCCTCTTGTCTTGAGAGACATGGACTGCCAATGGGAGCAGTAATATATATAATCCTACCAATTGTTTGTTGATGACTGGCAGTACGCTCATTTATCACGTTTAGTTTCCTGTGACATGAGTGGACTGAGATCTGGGAGGCACAGAATTAAAATAGAGTATTTTTCTTCACTCCCCAAGCAGGTTAAGCCAAAGCAACCATACAGATAATTTGGGCAGGATGGGTAGAAGGAGGGGGCATGAGTTGGCATGTATTTCAGTCACAAGCTTTGCTATGAATCACAAAGTGAGAGAGAAAAGATGGAGAGAAGTAAAAAAGAACAAAGGCTCAGGAAAACAAGCTCCTCGGAGTTTTTGAAAACAGATAGGTTTGTGTATTCAACATAGAGACACCCTTTTGCCTTCTTGAACTTTGGTGGATATTGGCAAATTAATCATGAGTGGACAAAAACCCTCATAACTGGACTATATGGACATGATATCTGTGTAGAGTGAGCAGACACCAGGAAAGGGCTAATTGGAACCTATCTTCCCAGTTTAACTGGAACTTTGTCCTCCAGCAAACAGGAAAATAGGAAGCTGCTTCATCTGGCTGAGGTTATTGGTCCATGCAGCCCAATGTTATTGATACTGACTGGCCTTTGTAGCACTTCCTGGAGAGGCTGGGGATTGAACCAAGGACCTGCAATATACAAAGCTTGTGTCCTGCTGCTCAGCTACCAAAGCTGGGTAAATAATTTCTACAGTCTTTGTGAGGGCCCTGTGAAATTTTTGCATGATGTGGTTACTCGTGTGTTGATGAAGTGGCTGGGAGCGCTTTCCATAAGTCCCGTTCTCCCACCCCCTCCACCCCTTCTTTTCAAACTAGAAACAAAGGAAAGCCGCTGCCCTCTGTGGGTGGCTGCTACTTGCTTTGGAAATCTCTAAAGTATGGAACAAGGAATGTCACTACTGCAAAATGGCATGGCGTGGATCCTAATGTCAATGAATGGGAGAAGGGAGGCCGACTGAATCCACAGGGGAAGCCACTTTTTTCTGTACACTGTCACTGTGTGCATCACAACATGATACAGCAGTTCGCAGTGCCTTTCTTAAAGAGATTTTAAATTGACTGGCAGCCAGCTCCTGAGTTCTGCACCTAAAAGATAAAGGAGAAAAAAGATAGGGACTATGCAGTCACCTCATCAAACAGTAAGTACATTTCTGTCTGAAACGTTCATATGCACGAGCGTGCACATGCACACACACTTGTCTACCTCTTCTTTTCCTTTAGTATCCCTGTGACTCCCATGAAGATAAAGGGAATTTTTGGGGGGTGGACAGGGTCAGGTCAGTCGTAGAATGAACCTAGTTCCCTACGTTCATTCAACATAGGACCTACATGCCTATACAGTGGACAGCCAGCATAGTGGTTAGATTATTGGACTGGGAGATCAAGAGAACCCACTTCTAGTCCTCAAGCAGGCATGAGGCACATGGTTTACTTTGGATCAGGCACTGACTCTAAGCCTAACCTACTTCACAGGGTTCTTGTATAGCTTAAAATTAGAGAAGAGGAAGACCATATGGTTCATCTTAGGTACCTTGAAAGAGGGAGAAAGGAGATAAAAATGTAACAACAAAAACAGCACAACAGTATGGGGAAAGGGGCAGAAGCAGTGAGTACAATCTCATTTCCCCATCTCTAGCTGCTCATTCTGCATAGCTATTGCATAGCCTTAGTATAACTTAAAGTTATTTGCAGTTGATGCTCTGGGAAATTGAATGCATCTTTTACACAGTCAGTTTCTTTTGAAGAAAACCCAGCAGATTTATCATATCTATGAAATAATCATTGTGTAAATGTGCAGTTGGAGCAGATGGCAGGCGCACATCCTTTTGCAGCTGCATCACCATTTAGGAAACTCATCAAAATGTGGCCTTTCCTCTGTTCATGAAGACACGTGCCAAAAGGAGCATCCCCCAAGTGCAGTGGTATTTTGGACAGAACAAATCTTGCTGCACCCTTTGCAGCCGGGGGGCGGGGGATAAAGATGCCCCGCAAAACAGCCACCAGCGTACTGCAGCCTTCATCCCATGAAGAGTTGTTTGAAGAAAGCTGCTCATGCAGTGGATTGGGTTATTTTCTCCAGACTGCCAGAAAAAGGTATGCTGTGGCATGGAGAAAATGTCCCGCTCCTTTTATTGCATGATAAGATTAGCTTGATTTGTGGAGACAGAGGCCACATGGAGCCATTTAAGGTAGTCCTGGAACATGGGAACCAACCCTCAGTCAGGGTTTGATGAATGTGGTTAGCTGTGTCTCTCTTCAGCTTGCCTTAAACATCTACACAGAGCCATAGTATCACAGAGAGTAACAAGAGAAGATAGAATTATTAGGGCTGTAATCGAGTGGAGTAAGAAGGGCACTGCACAGCAGGCAGAGGACAGTGCTGCAGCTTCCTACAAAGCAATATAGTAATGAGGCCAGCACACTTTGAAATAACCACTTGTGAATAAGTGCCTTGCCAACTGTGTGAGAGAAAGGCAATGGGCTTACGTTATTTATGCGTACTAAATAACAAGGAAATCTTGTCACCGCAGCTGAGTGTTTTCCCTTAACAATAGGCTCCCATTGCTATATAAACACCACGTTCCCGCCTAGCTGTGTATTTTCCAAGCAAAAAGACAATGCCTTCCAGTGCCTGCTGCGTCCTAAAAGACTCCCGTCAAGGCAGTTAGTGCAAGGAGATCTGTCATTAGTCACTTGACCTTCTGTATCCTGATTGGCTTACTGAGTTTCTAACATATCAGCTTATGCTAGCATAGAGCACTCCGCCCAAGGAGCACTGAACTGCTGGCATTGGCAGAGGAGGCTTGCAAGCAAGTAATGACTGCCTGACTCCCTGAAAGATCTGCCAGGAACTGTTTTAACCGGTGATGAGCTTTACGCAGACGAGAGACCTGGCATATTTGACCTTTGCCAGCATGGCAGCTACCTGGAATGTTTGGATTTGGTGGTGTGATAGACCAATTTGGCCTAGCATATGGCACAAACATATGCTCTCTCAGTTCAAAAGCATTGCACCACCGCCTAAGCCTGCACCAGTAGCCCTTCCCTCAACTTACTTCACAGAGATGGAACAGAAGAACTTATAAAGTCCCCTCCTGTATGAAACCAAAGGTTAGTCCAGCATCCCATTTCCTCCAGATGCAAAAGCAAAATTCCCTCCAAAAATTCCCCTCCAACAGGGCTGCACTCTAGAAGAGGTGGTCATAGAACCATCTACAGGGAAGTCAACGCTGTACTAAATCCTAAGTGGAGCTGCCCAAGTTCTTGTGTGAAATATGAGTGTTGTTGAACTACTATGTAACAGTGACCATAGTGCTGTCAGATTTAATTTATACTTAACTGAATAGGAAAGTAAGTCCAGCACATAAATTTGAAAAAGGAAGTCCAGGACAGTAACATTTAACTTCAGAAGAGGAAACTTTCCCCCACCCTTCCATTTTGTAAGGCAGGAACATGGAGACCTATACAACTCAGACCATGAAAAAATAAATCAAGCTGACCTAGATGGTACAGATGTCTGCTTGGCAGTCATTCATGTTGGAAACTCTTCAGTGGTGCTGTGTATAAAGTTGCCATCCTTTCCCCTACGGAAGGAGATAAAGGGTGCTTCCAGACAGATGGGTAATATCGCTATCAATCAAAGCACATTGCAGAGCAATTCTGTCTTTACATCCTTAATGGGTTTTGTATGGTAAGAAAAAAAGACAGAAATGGTTGAAAAACACAAGAGAGTTACAAAGTTCTGTGACTGAGGCAGAGCTATTGTACAATAAAACTTCACCTGAAAGCACCTCAAATGGCTGCTCAGTCACAAGCTGCAACATTATAAGTGAAGTCCACAATTTTCATTGTTGATGTCCAAAAGCAAAAGCAGAAGACAAAACATTCTCAAGGGCCAGAAAAGCTTTAACAAGCTTGATATGCTTCAGAAATATATTTCCTTCCTCAGGGGCTGCAAATGTAGTTTCATTTTCTCTTCTGCGTTTGGACATAACGGGTGCCTTTCGCTCTTGCTGTTTTTCTGATGTTTGGAAATCACAGGTGAATGTAAAGCAAGGGTGGGCTACTTGTGCCCCTCCAGATATTTTTTCCTGGAACTCCCATCAGCCCAAGCCTGCCTAGCCAGAGGAGAAACATGATGGGAATGGTAGGCCAAGAAATTGGTGTTGGGAGGTACAAGCTGCCCAGTCCTGTTGTAAAAGGCTGTGGTGATTCTGATGTAAGAATGCATTGCCTGTATAGTGTCCTAAGAAAACAAGATTTTAAAGTTAATCAGACATTTCATTGTGCTATTATGCTTTTGTCAACATTGTCTATATGTTCAGAGTAGGAAGTATCTAGAATTTTTTTGCTGATTACAATCCACATCGTTGCAAAAAGAATTCAGCATTAGAATGATATCATGGAGTGATATCATGATCCCATCTGGAAAGCAGGATCATATCTTTGTGCCATTAGCCTCACTGTAGGCAAAAGGATTCCTTGTACCTTCTGCATATTATTGATTGAGCTCCGTGCCTATTTCAGCTAGTTCTTCACCTCTCCACTCCAATGCATGGTGTTGCACACTTAGATAATTTGGGTAGAGAAAATATTGAGAGAAAGCAGTTTCAGGTTGGAAAACCCTTCAGGATTATAAGTTGTGTGGTGTGCCAAGTGCATGTTGCTTATTGTTCTGTTTTGTTGTTTTTCTCACTCCTTAGAAAAAATATTGCCCACACTCCCCAATCCTTTTCCAGGTCAGTATCTGTTTTATGTCACTGTAGCTTTTAAGCTGGGTCATTCTCCATCAAATCAATAAGTAGGATGAAACAGGGAATATAAAGCAGTCTAGATGTCATTTTAAAATGAGCCATACCATTGTGTTTACATTTCTGGTTGTTTCTGTCCTTTATACACACATCCCAGTGATGACAAACTGTTTGAATCCTCAAGCTGTTTTAGTGTTTTAAACTTCTGTCCCCTTACAATTTAAGCAATTCAGCATATCTAATCAAACAGCCAATCAAATGTGCATTGAGCCATATAATACAGCATCTCACAGACAAGTAGCACCTCAGAATGCACATGGGAGATTACAGGTTTGAGAATATAAAAAAAAATCAAAATTAATCTAAACTCACTCCACACAAAAAACTGTCATGCTAGTGAAAAGCTTTGCAGAACAACTTTCTCCAACCTGATGCTCTCCTGATGTGTTGAACTACAACTAAAAGCATAAGTAGAACTGTATAGTAGTTGTGCAACTCCCAACATGGAGTTGTAGTACAAGACTAGCCTTAGAGAAGGCTAGTCTAGGCCTAGTCCAACATTCTGACTGACCCATAAACATTCCTTATGCAGAATGTGAATGTATTCACCCATGGAATGGTGAGTGTGATCTCACGGTCACACTTGTCTGTTCAATTGCTTGCTACACTGGACAATTCACCACTGACGAAAACAGTCCAGCTCTGAGGTGACCTCAGCAACTCAACTTTTTGGTAGCACTCATGCAAGGTACTTCTAGTGTTTTGGAACAACACGAGTCCCCTGGAAAGCTTTTTTAAAAAATCATGTTAGCACTGGAGATGCCCAGTGGTGTTGAGGGGCTATAAGCTTCATAGATGGGGGAAAACATTCCACACTATGCACCATTGATTTTGGGATTCATTGACCTACAAAATTAGCAGGCTCCCAAAATAAAAAATAAAAAAGACAGTGGGAGACAAAACTGTTGCAAATCCAATTAAAGATCATAGGGGTTGAGGTTCTGCAATCTCTTGCTATGGTCGCCTCCAAATACTAGACTACTGAAAATGATCTACAGGACCGATGGTGGGAGGATAAGAGCATCCTTCACGCAAGGTTCCTGCCACTGGGCATTTTCCTCTCTGCCTTTTTGTATATTTCTATATGATCCATTGCATAACCCAAGATGGTGCTGTAGTATAGAATGGAACTGCAAAAATATACCAAGCCTTTGTAGCAAATAATGGCATCATCTAAGGAAATACCAGTCTTTCATGCATTAAAAACCCTGCAAAATTGACTGAAAAACTTGGGAGAGGCCCTGGAGAAGGAGGATGTCATGAAATGGCATTGTGTGTGTGAGAAAGAGATGGACCATTGCAGCTGTCTCCATTTAGGGCTGCTTTTGGGAGCATGGGTGTGGAGGCTGTCATTAAAAACACGTGCACTTCAACAGTTACCACTACATTATTGCTAAGAAGTAAGTACCACTGGATTCAGTAAGAGTAAAGTCCACCAAACACATTATAGCTTACTTCTGAATATACATGCATAGGATTGTGCTGTTAGTTGTTCCCCCACCTGCCCTAAATTAAGCTCTTGCAGTTCATATCGATTCTGAATCAGATATTGGCTCTGCTCTTCCAACATTTCAGAAGAGCCCCACCAGCTTTGTAGGAAATCTTTAAAAATGACTGGAATGCTATTGTAGCCATGGGCTACAACTAGATAAATAAAGGAAAATCTACAAATACAATTAAAAGGAAAGCACATGCAAAAACAAGCTACCATTAAATTAAATCCTGTATAGTTATTTGCAAATAACGTTCAAGAAAGGCAATAAAATAGGCCATTGGGATACCAGCATTAGGAAAATAAATCCAATTAAATATGATTATCATATGAAGCAGAAATGAAAATATACACAGATATAAAAATAACACTTTTAAAAGCTGCTTTGGGTTTAGGTTCTGCCTCTCTAAATTATTTAAATGTCAGCTTTATTAACAACTAAGGTTTATATTTGCATTCATAGGCCCCATTGTGCTTTTTATTAAAAAATGTAAGGACTATTTTGTTCATCATTTACTTGTTTCTTACTTTCCTGCTCTTCTGTGTAAATACACCTAAAGTGGCTTCAAGAGTAAAACATAAATAAGTAAGAACAGCAATTTGTCTGTGCACGCGTGTGTGCAAACCACAATGAATCAACAGTAATAAAACATCCTATCATAGCCTGTTGGAAAGCCACTCCCATCATTCCAGGCTGGCATGCTCAATAAAACTACATGTTTTAAACAGATAAATTGAAGAGATGGGTCTTTGCACCCTCTCCAACAGCCAAGAGAATGCGGACTAGTCATATTTCCTAAGGGAGTGCATGCCACAGTTTGGGGATAACAAAGGAGCAATGTATGGCTTTCTGTGCATGTACGACAAACAGGCCTTGGTTTGTAGTGGTGCTTTCAGAAGGCTTCACCTGCATATTTTAATACCAGGGCAATTTCCCTTAGATGCATGGCACCTTTCTCAAGAGTGGAGCCTTCAAAATGAACGTATCTTCATTCCATATTCAAACTATCAGGAGTATTACCAACAAAAAACAAAATATAGTGCATCCATATGTTTAAAACTTTAATCTCACTTTCTTGTTACTTTGTCTTATATTTCTAATGTCTTGGGGTGATGTACTCTATGCTTGAGTTAAATGTTTAAGTCCCCTTAATTTTGATTCACATAAGTTGCATCCCAGCATACCTTCAGTGCATCCAGGAATACTATAAAGATTTCACTGAGCAAATCTATAATTTTAATATGTAGGACCTTATTTCTCTGCCAAATGTTCCCAGCAGTTTCTTTGCCATGGGCAATTAGCACAGGTATTGGTGCTTTACTAACTGTTCTCTCTGCCTTTGCAATTCACCTTTGATAGAGCCTCAGGAAAAATTATTATTGAATCTCTAAACTGTGTAGACACGGCTTCTGTTCTCAGATATAAATGAGCTCCTCTGAAATCTGTATGCTATCATCCCTGCTTTCTAAGCCTTGTTTGTAGGATCTGAAAGTTCTCTTTTTCTCTTTCTTAAAAAAATAAATTAACATTTCCTGACAAGGACATAATTGTTAGTGAACTACTTAAATAAAATCTTTAAATCCCTATGTCATTTCTGATCATTTTTAAAAAGAGAGCTATAAAACAGATCATCTTCATTCTAACATAGAATATTCCCAAAATATCTTCTGAGCTGCACTATCATGTTGTCACCACTAGCATGTTAGCATTGTGAGCCACCAGACCCAATGATGCTTGAATGGAATATTATACAGATCTTTGAAATTCTGTCAGCACTGAATTGTTGGGAGTGATGGAGCAAACTAGAGCACCAGTTTTCAGACCAAAAGGACCACAGTGATTTTTGAAACACCTAGACCAGAGACCTGCTGAGACGTTCTTCAGATTCTGCACTTTTTAATGATATTAATGCTATAGGATTCAGGATGCTTCTGTGCAGGAATTTTGCGTGCCTCCCATTTAAGTTCTAAATCCTGGGGAAATGTCCCCCTAGGCAAGTAGAAATAATGGTACAGTAGGCAAGGAATAAGTGCAGAGTGAGCAAAAACACTGTGGTAGGGACAATTTCTGTTCAGCTCATTTTTTATAGAATTTAGCCAGTTTGCACCTTCTGAACCACATCCAGACTTTGAATGCAATTTGTGGTAAAAGTCCACATATTACCAATCTTGCATTGTGATTCATGTGTAATGATCCACCAAGGGAAATCCCACACCTCCCCCGGCCCTGTTGAAAAATGACTTAAACCGTACTGGCCATGCAACCAGCCAAAGCACTGGAATTAGCACACGGCTCACTCAAGCACAGTTTAGGGGATAAAAATCCATTTACTGAGGTAGTAAAGTATAGGAATGGAGGGAGGAATAAAATAAATAGGATTAATATAGTAAACAGGAGAAGGATGGTGGATAGCAGCAACCAAAAACACAATAACTAAAGCTGACCCCACTTCCCCTAAGACCCTTAAGTCTTGTTGCACCAGTAGGACAAGAAAATAAAAAACTAGCACCTACACTATTCAATTTGTCCAGGGCTGTAGCAAACCACTGGCATGGAAGCAACCAGTCTCTTCCTAAGTACAAGCAGGCACCATCCCCAAAAGAGGAACAAAGACCACCTCTTTCTTGAACCCCCAACCCTTTATTCCCGCTCCAGCGGGGTGATGTCCAACCTCCCAATCCCCCCATGCTGTCCCCAGCTGCCTGCAATAAACCATTTGGCCCTTCCATCGCCAGCATCCTTAGGCCTTTGGGACTGATAACATTGAGGTGTGAATTACTCCCTTATACCTCGACAGTCAGATGTGAATTACTCCTTTAGTCACTTGAATGTCTGACAGTTCTGAACTCTTCTTTGATCAGGGCCATCTGGGTCAGTTCTCAACCCAGATATTCAACATCCTGTGTACATTTGGAAAATGTTCATGAAAGATGCATACTTTTAAAAGGTGTGCAGAAACACATGTTAACCAATGGAAGAAGAATGCATACTTTTCAAGGATGCAAACTTTTTGAAAAATACAGAACTATGCATGTGAACAGAGAAAAAAATGTAACCTGATACAAAGGCAGGACTGAACCAACTCTGAAGTGGGCTGTAAAGAGATTTGACTAGCTTAGGTTTTGCTTAAACACACATCCATACACTGCATAGTTCAAAAGGTGTTAATATGGCAAAATAAAACATCCAGACTCCCCCCATTCCTCAAAATGCACAGATATACCCTAAATGAGAAGAACATTTCTGGACTAAAATTTCTTAAACCAGAACATACTAAACTTGCAGCCTGCCAAGGGACAAATATCCTACATAACTCCATCGTAAGATTCCTTATGTAAAGGCACAGCTTGTCAAATCCCAGTTGTGTTTGTGATAAGGACCATTGTGTCTTCTGGCTTAACTGCTGAAAAGCTTGGCCACTCTATAGCTCTCCTC